ATTCATAATATACGACTTACGGGCTATTCATGCCCGTGCCACCTCTTGGGTGGCTTAATCTCCATCAATCAATCAATCACTTGTATTCATAGTTTACCTGATGATGTTCCAAAGAGCAACGGAACGTTGTACAAAATAAATCCTTCAACTTTTAACTAGAGTTTCTTTACCGTGAATTTTGGTAACTTGATTGTTCTTCTTATTACTGATACTAAGAAAATAGTTAGCAGCATAGAGAGCTTGCACAATAAGATCAACATCGCCAGCAATGCGGACACATTTAACCAAATATAGTGTGTGTGTGACGAACCCCAGCGCCATCTATGTTTCGTGTACCGAGTCTGTAGACCAGTGAATGGCAGCAGAGGGGGAGGGGGGGGGAGAGATACGAAGTGACTCGGTCGACCGTAGGATGTCATCACGTTAGCGAGCTAGCAAAGGTGCTAGCGGAGCACTGGAACACGTCCCCAAGAGGTACGTGCTAGCAAAGGTGCTAGCGGAGCACTGGAACACGTCCCCAAGAGGTACGTGCTAGAAAAGGTGCTAGTGGAGCACTGGAACACGTCCCCAAGAGGTACGTGCTAGCAAAGGTGCTAGTGGAGCACTGGAACACGTCCCCAAGAGGTGCATGCTAGCAAAGGTGCTAGCGGAGCACTAGATAAGAGACTGTCGAGGGTGGACTCTTCCCCCCCCCCCTTTTTTTGTTGGACTAGTAGTTTTGTCAGTATTCGGTGTCTATACCATATATTGAGTTGCGCTTAATAACAATTATAAGTTTTTATGTTGCCATTTGATTGATATAACCTTTAGACAGCACCTCCACCAGGGCTATGGACCTCCAGGTCTGGGGACGACCACTGAGGAACAAGAATACAGTTACTGACAAGGCCGTAACATAGGTAGAAATAAATATAATATATACATACACAAAAGGGTGGGTACCCGGCGTTCCCCAGGTCTCTCTCTCTCTCCCCCATTTATTTGTCTGTCTAGCCACCTATCTATCCATATATGTACTTCTCTATCTATCCATCCATCAGTTCATCTATCTATCCATGTACCTACCAACTTACTGTCAATCTCTCTTTGTCTCTGTCCATCTGTCTGTCTCTCCCCTTTCCAATCTCTCTCTCTCTCTAATATATAACGGAAAGCAAATTTTTTTTATTTATTTTTTGTTTTCAAATTAGTCACCCCATTGCTTCGTAGCTTGGTAAGGTTGGTATATCAAGCCAGTATGACCCCCAACCCGTCCTCCTCGTAATAGCACGTCGCATTTTGACGTATATTTTACCCAAGGCCATAAACTGTCCTTCAGGAAAATGGTCGGGGCTCGCCAAGTTGACACACCATCCCGTTTGTCCCGTGTACGTTTCGTCCCCCCCCCCCCCACTTTGGGGGACAAAACCTGTAGTTTCCTATAACCTGTTTTTGTATGGTTCCTTGTGTCCCATACAGTACTGCCTTATCTAACCATCTGGCATTTCCGACGATTTTCAAAGGATTAAGAAGATGAAGCCACCCAAAAGGTGGCACGGGCATGAATAGCCCGTAAGTGGTGGCCCTTTTGAGCCATTACCAGTATCAAGAGCTGATACTGGAGATCTGTGGAGGCGCGACTGTACCCTGCGTGACGGGAGATGTCTCCCGTGTCAAAGGATTACCATAGCATGTCCTTTTGTTCTCGTCAGCTTCTTCCCACTCCACTTGTGGTGTCTAGGCTGGTCCTCCATATGTTCTCCTCTCCCTTGTTTCTGCACTCTTGCTACTGAAGATAGCCCTGACAGGTTGAAAGCTGCAAAACTCTGTTCCATCATTGTTTTTGTTAACAAGCTTAGATATTCACAGCAATGTGTTGCTACCCTATTATGTATGAAAGATTACACAGTGTAGATAAAAAAAAACTAGCTGTAAGTTCATCTAATATCCCCCATCTCACAGGATGGCCAGTCATACATGTAATCAGGAGAGAATAAGAAATGTAAGGCTGATCTATTAGCCTCCACTAGCAAAATCTGGGTACAACACAAGAATTTCTTCCAATATTCCTGAGTGTATAACGTACTGTAATTACAGAGCTCAAGGAACCAAGTTACCCGGACTCATAACACGCTCAGTCTCCCCTGTTGAAAACTTTAGGGTTTTCTATGAGGGTCGATGAAGGAGAACGACCAGAGGCGGGAGCTGAACTATTCTAGCACATCTCGGCTTGTAAATAGTCTAAATAAATAATAATAAATAATAAATTTTTAGATTGGTAAAAGTACATACATACATATTGAGTTACAAGCAGAATGTTGGATTTGCAGATAGAGCTAGTATATACTATGCCTTAAGCCACTAATAAAGTACGCATAGCGTTTTGCCCGAAACGCTATGCGTACTAGTGGCTTTAGGTATTGTATGTACTAACTCTATCTATAAATCCAACATTATGTTTGTAAAACAACTATGTATGTACCTTCCTGAATAAAATTTACTTTACTTTACTTTTACTTTACTTTATTTTACTTACTAATACGCACAGCGTTATGGGCAAGATGTGGGGGAAAAAAATTAAAAAACTAAGACTTAAGACTAATTGAGATCAAAATTATGGACTGAACTGAAGTAGAAGAAATAATGCCAATGATTATATGTTGAATTCACAGCAGCAATTACAAAAGAGAAGCAGAATATAATTTTTACTAAATAAACATACCGACTACACTTGTTTAAGTATGTGCATGGCAGATATATCAGCAGCTTTACAAGTTAGTCATTAACCATTAATGTTTGATAATAGCAAGACATAGGTTGACCTTTAAGAGGTAAGGTAGGTTACATGGAGTTGATAAGGTAGTAATTAGCTTTTCTCTTAAACTGGTTGAGAGATGGGCAGTCTTTGACGTAATTATAATAATAATAATAATAATTTTATTTAGGTAAGGTACATACATAAAGAGATTTTACAAAGTTTGTTGGCTTTATAGATAGAGCTAGTACATACAATGCCTAAAGCCACTATTACGCAAAGCGTTTCGGGCAGCCAGGGAAGGTCATTCCACATTTTGGGACCCTTGATTTGCATAGTATTTCTAATTATAATAATAATAATAATAATTTATTCAGAAGAAGGTACGCTGGGTTGGTGAGACTACATAAGATTGGTTCAGTATTTGTGTATTGTTGCAAAGCCACTAGCAGGCATAGTGTTTCGGGCAGGTCCTTAATCTAACATATCAGGTAAGATGAAAAGGTACACTGTAGCAAGGTCTTAACATATAACTACAATATAAATTGAGAGGTGATTACACTGGTGAAGATGTCTTAAGTACTAATATTGTGGCAGTGGGTAATACAAGATATACAGTGTGAGTTTGAAGCACAAGGTAGGAAACTATAGGGATGAAATTAAGTACTTTTTGGTTTTACTTTTGAATAGGGCATAGGTTGGACAATTGTTTAATTCTTCGGGGAGTGAGTTCCAAACACTGCAGGGTCCTTTTATTGACATGGAGTGTTAGAATTTTATTTGCACAAAATGTGCACAAATTTTGTTTGAATCTGGGGATATCAAAGAGATATTTATTTCAGGTATGGTGCTCATGGAGTTCTATTACATTTATCAAGGAAAAGTTTCAGATCACGATTAGCATTTACAAACAAGGTTCTAGCTTGGTTATGTCGCACTCTTGGAATATCAGATCAATATTTGTTTCTAGTGTGGTGCCCATGGATTCTATTAGAACCCTCTAAGAAGCGTTAAAGGTCAGAATTAGCAGTACAGTTGAGAGTTTTATTTTATACCCTTAGTAAGCCATGGATTGTTTAACCTTTTAGATGTGACTTGTTTGGTTAACATTGGACAGTGGGAATTATAGAGCCTCAGAGTTGTGGGAAAAAATGATTGCACCATGTTTGTAGTTTCTTTCACCCTATGCCCCTGTTACCTAGCAGTAAAATAGGTACCTGGGTGTTAGTCAGCTGTCACGGGCTGCTTCCTGGGGGTTGAGGCCTGGTCGAGGACCGGGCCGCGGGGACACTTAAAGCCCCGAAATCATATCAAGATAACCTCAAGATAACCGCAGGGTTGATGCTTACTATATTGCTGAATTCAGTCTCCCAGTTGTTATTAGCAGCAGCAACATTAAAGATGCTTATGGAAGAACAAATCCACAAGGGCCGGGACGAGGATTCGAACCTGCGTCCAAGAGCATCCCAGACGCTGCTTTAACAGATATTTGTTCATTTGATGCATCACGTTATTGTAATTTCTGTGAGTATTGCTTATGGAAGTTTCATTGTGCAGTCTAAAGTTTAAAACTTAAAGCTTAATTATTATAATTCATTGTCAGGGGACAGGCAGCCAGTATATACATACGGTACATGTTAGACTTATATCGAGGTGATGTGAGCACCAGGTGAGATAGGTGAAACACTTGAAGTATTTTAAACACCTGGTCAGATATTTGAAGCATCTGTTGAAACACCTGTAGAGACATTTGTATTTGCTGGCGAGTCACCTGTAGCATCTGGTGATACATTTATAACACCTGGTGATACAGGTACACTTGTCATAACAATGACACATTAGATCAGCGTTACCTGGGTGTTCTCCCCCCCCCAGAGGCAGGCGTTCCATATGTGTGTGTCAGAGCCGGTTTTAAGGCCAGATCTTTCCGGTTATCAGGTACCAGGGCCGGTTGGAAGGCCAGATCTTTACGGATATCTGGTACCAGAGCCGATTGGAATACCGAATCTCTCCCCGGATATCAGCTATAAAGCAGTACTCTCCATCCAACACACACACACACACACACTCAGCAACAGCTATGCCGTCCAAGGCCAACCATGCTAGCGCGCATGTCCGGTAAACCCAGCCACAGTTTTTGTTTCCAGAAGACCGGTCGCGGGTTCCAGCCTCCAGGTGGTCACCACAGGGCGGCCATGGCTCCTCCCCCACACCCAGACGCTGCCACCTCTCGCCAGACGCAGGCCAAACAAACCCACAGCTCTGCCATTCTCGGCCAATACAACACATGATAGAAAACGTTAACATTCACATAATCTTGGATAAAGTCGTTTGTGTTTGTATTAAATGATACGGTTTGCTGAAGGAGGCGCTAGAAGAGAGGCGTAGTTGAGCCTTGACAGGGCAGGAGGCGAGGTCCGGTTTCTGGTATATATTGCCAAGGGAAGCGTTTTGACCCTTCAGTGCTCACACCTCCGCCATGAAGGTAAGGACGCTTCTATAATGCTCCAGTATAATGTTTATTATGAATTCTCTGGGTGATCCTGAGGGAGTGAGGGGATGGGGGTGATGGGATGAGGTTTGTGAAGTGTTCTGGAGGTTGGGTAATTTGTCTGTGGGGTTTTTATGTAAATTGTTGGAGGTATTTGGCTATCATGCTTCCTGACGCCCTCGTTGCCCACTACCCCAGGTGTCCTACACTACCCAGGTGTCCTACACTACCCCAGGTGTCCTACACTACCCCAGGTGTCCTACACTACCCAGGGGTAAGTGATTATAATTAACCCCTGATGGATGTCCCCCGGGATAAAATCCACAAGAGTTGTCTAACAGCCTGTGTCCCGTCCGGGGATCGAACCCAAGACTGTACTACACAGGACCCGTCGGTGTGTAACACCACCACAAACAGTGTCCTTGAACACACACCTCATCCATATGTTAGAATAAGTGACGAGGTTCTTTTTTAGTGTACGGTAAAACACCTGCGTAGTAACATGTGCTATATAACAACACCCGTTACCTGAGGAAACACACGAAAATTGGAGCATGGAAAAAAACCATTTCAATGTTCCTTTTTATACCATTTTTAGAATCCAAGCGAAGCCTATTATCTCTTCAACCCCATCCTCTTAAACTAATAGTACAGCAATTATTTGGTCGATAGTACATATATGTACTGTTATAACCGACAATATTCATGTATCCCACACTACCCATACTATTACTATTATTTGATACTATTAGTTAAGTAGAGGGCATGAAAGAAAGCCAAAGTAAACATAATCAGGCCTAGTACAGCACTTATATGTACTATATTAGGCTTAAGAAAGCCTATATTAGGCCAAAGATTGTTTGGACAGATTAGGCTAGAGTAGACGATGAGTCACAATAACGGGGCTGAAGATATGAGGACCAGATCACACACCAGAAGGTGAAGAGACAACGACGTTTCGGTCCATCCTGGACCACTATCGTATATGGTCCAGGACGGACCGAAACGTCGTCGTTTCTCCACCTACAGTTGTGTGGTTTGGGCATCATTAGGTTCGAGTCTTTTCAATCACAATGTTGAGTGGGTCATTTAGCCATAAGCCTCTTTTGTCCAAGAGTATGTTTTAGGAAGTTTGTGTTGCTTCTCACATACGTCAATGAGTCTTTGTGAATATTTGTGAATATGCAAGGCAAGGGCCTTGTTGATGGGGACGAAACCTAATGAGGAGACCATTTCCAGAGTGTGCATAGTGTCCTGATGGTCGTCGTGGCGGCAGTGGCCGGCCAGAACCCCAACACGACTAACACGACCAACACTCGGATCGGAGGCTTCCCTGGGTCGACAATCGGAGGCGGAATAGGCGTTCCAGGAGGCGGGATAGGCGTTCCAGGAGGTGTGCTCCTTCCTGGAAACTTTCCTGGAGGTGGTGGAGGCGGTATCCTTCACGACTATGGTTTAGACTGCAGTGAGAACAGCCTCAGCCCCCAGACTAGCAACTGTAGGTACTACCTCAGGAACCCCGTCAGTCGTCGCTACTTCTGCACCAGGAATCAAAGTGCGTGTTTTGTGTTTAGATTTGTGTACGAAGGTTAAATACGTGAAACAGATCATTGATAAGAGTGTTTGACTAGTTTTGGTTCTTAGTTCCATATGAGAGTTCAAAAACCTGATTAAACTTCAATTTGTAACCAAGGTTTCTTGTAATACTATCAGTCTACCTGTTCATCTGTCTACCTACTCTCTGCATCTGTATATTTCTGTGTCTGTCTCTGTCTATGTGTCTCTGTCCATGACAATCCAGTGAGAGGAGCTTAGTGTCTAGATATAGTTATCCATATCAATCCCCAGCTATCATTATCTAGCTCCAGCTATCCCTATCAATCCCAGCTATCCTTACCTATCTCCAGCTATCCTTATCAATATCCAGCTATCCTTACCTGGCTCTAGTTATCCATATGTATCTCCAGTTTTCATTACCTAGCTCTATCTATCTTATCCATCTGTATTTCTCTCTCCTTTTAATGCTCTAGTTATCCTTACCCCTGCTTTATCTATTTTTATTCACCTTTTACTTAATTATCTTCATCCAGCTATAAAGCTCCTTATCCATCACTAAACCCTCCTTATCCATCACTAAACACTCATTATCCATCTCTGAACCTTCCTTCTCCATCTCTGAACCCTCCTTATCCAGCTGAAGCGCTCCCTGTCATTTCGTACCCATGTCATTCTACAGAGCCAGCGTACAGGTGTCCTCGGCTACGAGCAGAGTGCCCAGGGACCCGCTTCGGGCCGCCCGTCCAGTGCTTTACGGACAACGACTGCGGACCTCTCGATAAGTGCTGCTGCGATGCCTGCCTCGACCACTATGTGTGTAAGCCTGCGGCCTAGTGCTGCTGGAGGAGGGGAGGAGGACCTAGTGGCCATAGTCTGTAATGCTGTCATGGGGGGCGGTCGTGTCCTCAGGCATAAAATCTATGCCAATAAATTTCGTAAATTTATAGAGTTGTTTGATCATTTATCCTTATGACGAATACCTTAATACTGATACGAATGTTAATGACGAATAAAACTAGAGCCTAATGGTATTGTAGATTGGAGTTTCATGAAGCCATTTTCTATTTTCTAGAAAAATGACTTGATATAGAGCAGACTAATTCGGTATTTACAAACAGGAATTACAACTGTGTTTAAACAGAGGGCGACCAAGTACTTTAACACATTTGATCACACATCAGTGTTGAGGTTCGGGGAAGACAATGGAGGTCGATATAGCGACTTGAGAATGGTCCAGGACGGACCGAAACGTCGTCGTCCCTTCACCTTCTAGTGTGTGGTCTGGTCAACATACTTTAGCCACGTTATTGTGACTCATCGCCTGCAAGACAATGGAGGTCAATATAGCGCAACAAGTAGCCTCAGGCTCCTGAGGAGAGAGTTGTGACCAGAAGTACTTGAAGCAGTCCGGCTTCTCACCTATAATAGGTCGCGGATTCTTTTTTTTTTTAACGTTCGGGTAACCACCGTTATACATGCAGCCTAGTACAAAAAGTGACGGGTCGCGAATATCTACGTTTTCTGTGCATGTGACGCGATAGGTTAGAGGGGTGGCTTGGGAGAGTACGTTACTGGTTAGGCTAAACTGTTGTAATTTTTTTTATAGAGAGGCACAACTTCCCGCCCTGTGCTATGCTATGCTGTGCTATGCTGTGCTGAGCCGAGCGGGATGCTGTGTCAATATGGCTGGTCGCCTTTGAGTCAAGATGAACCCGAGCCGGGTGTGGGGGCATGTCTACTGGTCTAGTATGTTATCAGGTGTGAAGCAGGTTTGCAGGACCTGTTTGGCACCTCGAGAGGCAGACAATAGCCTCACCCCCGGGAATACCTGCTGTAAGGCCCCAGTGAGCCACTTCATCACTGTATCATCCACACACTAAGAAGCCACTCATCACTGTACCATGAAAACACTAAGGGGTCACTCATCAATTAAATACATAGTGCCACGAGACACGATGCCATTATATACTCAGTGGTGCCATTATATATGGCAGGATATATGGTTGTTGAAGCAAATGCATCATAGTTCCTCGCTCCTAAGACTTTCAGATATTAACCTGAGAAGACACAGCCTCCAAACTACGGACTGACGACCACGACTCGACTTAATAACTAATACTTTAGCACTCTAAACACTTCCACATTTATAATACCGAGCTTAAACCTCAGGAAATGTCTTGTCATCAAATATTAACTGTTTTGTAATCAATAAATACCACAGCACACAGTAGGCGGTAACACTATGAAATCTTGGCGTGAGAGGGGCTTCAAGGACAGAAGGAGAACGGGGAAGATGGAAGATGTAGGTGAACACAAGCATCAGGTGAAAATGAAAGACGCCCAATTATCGAGACATGACACAATTACAAACTAATAATAATTAGAGAAGCGTATGTGTGGAATATCAACTCCCGTGTTGTCTAGTGGCTAGGATACGCGGCTCTCACCCGCGAGGCCCGGGTTCGATTCCCGGCACGGGAAACCTTTTTGTCCATCGTGTTTTTGCGATATTCTACAAAATTGAAGCTCATTACATATTTGTTTATCTGTTTACTTCCCAGTAGTTATGGTGACTTGTTAACGAATTTATTAGCACATAACATGTACAATTAAGTGATTAGTGAAATGGGTACACTGTAAGTAACATTCGTTGGTCAGTACTGTGTCTGTGAGGTACTGGCCAGTACCGTGTATGTGTGGTGCTGGCCAGTACCGTGCCTGTGTGGTGCTGGCCAGTACCGTGCCTGTGTGGTGCTGGCCAGTACCGTGCCTGTGTGGTGCTGGCCAGTACCGTGTCTGTGAGGTACTGGCCAGTACCGTGTATGTGTGGTGCTGGCCAGTACCGTGCCTGTGAGGTGCTGGCCAGTACCGTGCCTGTGTAGTCCTGGCCAGTACCGTGTCTGTGAGGTACGGGCCAGTACCGTGCCTGTGTGGTGCTGGCCAGTACCGTGCCTGTGTGGTGCTGGCCAGTACCGTGCCTGTGTGGTGCTGGCCAGTACCGTGTATGTGTGGTGCTGGCCAGTACCGTGCCTGTGTGGTGCTGGCCAGTACCGTGCCTGTGTGGTGCTGGCCAGTACCGTGCCTGTGAGGTACTGGCCAGTACCGTGCCTGTGTGGTGCTGGCCAGTACCGTGCCTGTGTGGTGCTGGCCAGTACCGTGCCTGTGTAGTCCTGGTCAGTACCGTGCCTGTGTGGTGCTGGCCAGTACCGTGCCTGTGTGGTGCTGGCCAGTACCGTGCCTGTGTGGTGCTGGCCAGTACCGTGCCTGTGTGGTGCTGGCCAGTACCGTGCCTGTGTGGTGCTGGCCAGTACCGTGCCTGTGTGGTGCTGGCCAGTACCGTGCCTGTGTACTGGTTACTCTCACAATGCGCAACAGTGTTCCATCGCCTCTGTAGACGAAAACTTTATATTTGTGAAATTTCTCGACAATCTCGTTCGGGGCGACCTCCCTAGATGCTGTTTTGTTTCATCTGAAGAGGTAGTTAAAGGCTCCTGACACCACTCACGGCCTGGCGACTAGGGCCAGGCCGTCAGTCGTGATTAGGGGCTACAGTGATAGGACTCACTGTGACCCATCACTGGCGCCACAGTGATAGGACTCACTGTGACCCATCACTGGCGCCACAGTGATAGGACTCACTGTGGCCCATCATTGGCGCTACAGTGATAGGACTCACTGTGGCCCATCATTGGCGCTACAGTGATAGGACTCACTGTGGCCCATCATTGGCGCTACAGTGATAGGACTCACTGTGACCCATCATTGGCGCTACAGTGATAGGACTCACTGTGACCCATCATTGGCGCTACAGTGATAGGACTCACTGTGGCCCATCATTGGCGCTACAGTGATAGGACTCACTGTGGCCCATCATTGGCGCTACAGTGATAGGACTCACTGTGACCCATCATTGGCGCTACAGTGATAGGACTCACTGTGACCCATCATTGGCGCTACAGTGATAGGACTCACTGTGGCCCATCATTGGCGCTACAGTGATAGGACTCACTGTGGCCCATCATTGGCGCTACAGTGATAGGACTCACTGTGGCCCATCATTGGCGCTACAGTGATAGGACTCACTGTGGCCCATCACTGGCGCCACAGTGATAGGACTCACTGTGGCCCATCATTGGCGCCACAGTGATAGGACTCACTGTGACCCATCACTGGCGCCACAGTGTACTCTATATCTGCCCTTCGAAGGGCAGTTCCTTCCATCCTCAGTGACCTGAACCAACTGTGGCTTCCACACAATTCAAAATACGATTAATAGAGCGAAATAATAGAGCTATTAATAGATTAATAGAGCTAGTTTCTGTACGAAAATAGAGCCAGCTGTCTCTCCTCCCGCTGGTGGCATATTCTCAGAGACATAACATAACATTCGCCCTGGAGGACACTGTTTTTTGTGTGCTAACACATTTAGGTACATCTACGTATGGTATAATATATTAAAGTCTACGGTGGATTTATACCACGTTTAAATTACTAAATCACACACACACCCACACACCTACACAGTTTTAAGTGTATATATGCTAGAGCCAAGTAGGCTCAGGAAAATGTACACCTGTTGATTGACGGTTCAACCCCCGCAAACACAACTAGATGAGTACACACACACACACACACACACACACACACACACACACACACACACTACTGGGTGTAGTGTGTGTGTGGGTGTCCACTTACCTTAAGGCGGAGTGAAACTGAAAAAACTGAAAACCGGAACTGAAAAGCAAGAGTTACGAGGAGAGACTAGAGGCGTTAAACATGACAAAACTAGAAGATATAAGAGAGGTGATATGATCACCACTTACAAAATACTAACAGGAATCGACAAAATTGACTAAAAAGGAATTCCTAAAACCAGCAACTTCACGAACAAGAGGACACAGATTGAAGCTAAGGAAAGAAAAGTGCCGTGACAATATTAGAAAGTTTTCTTGTGCAAACAGAGTGGTAGACGGTTGGAACAAGTTAGGCGACAAGGTTGTGGATGCTAAAACCGTCAGTAGTTTCAAAGCGTTATATGACAAAGAGTGCTGGGAAGACGGGACACCTCGAGCGTAGCTTTCATCCTGTAACTACACTTAGATAATTACACACACACAACACACTTTATCACTCATGGGCCTCGATGGCGCAGTAGGCAGCGCGTGAGTCTCATAATCTCAAGGTCGTGAGTTCGATCCTCACTCGGGGCAAGTGTTTTCTATGTTAATACATTTGTAATTAATAATGAGACACAGGGACGTCAGCAAGAACTTTTCCAGTGTCAGAGTAGTTAACAGGTGAAGTGCATTAGGCAGTGATGTGGTGGAGGCTGACTCCATACACAGTTTCAAATGTAGATATGATAGAGCCCAATAGGCTCAGGAACCTGTACACCTGTTGATTAACAGTTGAGAGGCGGGACCAAAGAGCCAGAGCTCAACCCCCGCAAGCACAACTAGGTGAGTATAACGAGATGAGTACTCACACACACTCATGTATATATAAATCTCTCTCCCTCATGTAAATTCAGCATGTATATTATATATACATATAATATATAATGCCTCTATTTGCGTCAACAATCTTGGAGTGTGAGAATACCTGTTACTGATAATAGCATTTTGATTATAAAATTATTTGAGCCATGAATGTGTTGAAATATATAAAGAGCCGTCTCAGTGGTGTGTTTAAACTTATGGCGAGCTGATGAGTTTAACCTTCATAAAAAATAATATATATATATATATATATATATATATATATATATATATATATATATATATATATATATATGAATGAGTTTTCATTCGCATATAGTCCTGGGGACCATTCAGGCTTGTTCGCATATATATATATATATATATATATATATATATATATATATATATATATATATATATATATATATATATATATATAAGATCAGTGGTCCTGGGGCTAGATTCACGAAGAAGTTACGCAAACACTTACGAACCTGTTCATCTTTTCTCAATCATTGGCGGCTTTGTTTACAATTATTAAACAGTTAATGAGCTCCGAAGCACCAGGAGGCTGTTTATAACAATAACAACAATTGATTGGCAAGTTTTCATGCTTGTAAACTGTTTAATAAATGTAACCAAAGCCGTCAGAGATTGAGGTCATCAACCTGGGTCTTGGGGTCAACAACATGGGTCTTGGGGTCATCAACCTGGGTCTTGGGGTCATCAACCTGGGTCTTGGGGTCATCAACATGGGGGGTCTTGGGGTCATCAACCTGGGGTCTTGGGGTCATCAACCTGGGGGTCTTGGGGTCATCAACCTGGGTCTTGGGGTCAACAACCTGGGTCTTGGGGTCATCAACCTGGGGTCTTGGGGTCATCAACCTGGGTCTTGGGGTCATCAACCTGCGGGGTCTTGGGGTCAACAACCTGGGTCTTGGGGTCATCAACCTGGGGGTCTTGGGGTCATCAACCTGGGTCTTGGGGTCAACAACCTGGGTCTTGGGGTCATCAACCTGGGGTCTTGGGGTCATCAACCTGGGTCTTGGGGTCATCAACCTGGGTCTTGGGGTCATCAACCTGGGTTTTGGGGTCAACAACCTGGGTCTTGGGGTCATCAACCTGGGGGTCTTGGGGTCATCAACCTGGGTCTTGGGGTCATCAAGCTGGGGGTCTTGGGGTCATCAACCTGGGTCTTGGGGTCATCAACCTGGGTCTTGGGGTCATCAACCTGGGTCTTGGGGTCAACAACCTGGGTCTTGGGGTCATCAACCTGGGGTCTTGGGGTCATCAACCTGGGTCTTGGGGTCATCAAGCTGGGGGTCTTGGGGTCATCAACCTGGGGGTCTTGGGGTCATCAACCTGGGGGTCTCGAGGTCATCAACCTGGGGGTCTTGGGGTCATCAACCTGGGTCTTGGGGTCATCAAGCTGGGGGTCTTGGGGTCATCAACCTGGGTCTTGGGGTCATCAACCTGGGTCTTGGGGTCATCAACCTGGGTCTTGGGGTCATCAACCTGGGGGTCTCGAGGTCATCAACCTGGGGGTCTTGGGGTCATCAACCTGGGTCTTGGGGTCATCAAGCTGGGGGTCTTGGGGTCATTAAACCTGGGGGTCTCGAGGTCATCAACCTGGGGGTCTTGGGGTCATCAACCTGGGTCTTGGGGTCATCAACCTGGGTCTTTGGGTCATCAACCTGGGTCTTGGGGTCATCAACCTGGGGGTCTTGGGGTCATCAACCTGGGGGTCTTGGGGTCATCAACCTGGGTCTTGGGGTCATCAACCTGGGGGTCTTGGGGTCATCAACCTGGGTCTTGGGGTCATCAATCTGGGTCTTGGGGTCATCAACCTGGGGGTCTTGGGGTCATCAACCTGGGGTCTTGGGGTCATCAACCTGGGGGTCTTGGGGTCATCAACCTGGGTCTTGGGGTCATCAACCTGGGTCTTGGGGTCATCAACCTGGGGGTCTTGGGGTCATTAACCTGGGGGTCTCGAGGTCATCAACCTGGGGGTCTTGGGGTCATCAACCTGGGTCTTGGGGTCATCAAGCTGGGGGTCTTGGGGTCATCAACCTGGGTCTTGGGGTCATCAACCTGGGTCTTGGGGTCATCAACCTGGGTCTTGGGGTCAACAACCTGGGTCTTGGGGTCATCAACCTGGGGTCTTGGGGTCATCAACCTGGGTCTTGGGGTCATCAAGCTGGGGGTCTTGGGGTCATCAACCTGGGGGTCTTGGGGTCATCAACCTGGGGGTCTCGAGGTCATCAACCTGGGGGTCTTGGGGTCATCAACCTGGGGGTCTTGGGGTCATCAACCTGGGTCTTGGGGTCATCAACCTGGGGGTCTTGGGGTCATCAACCTGGGTCTTGGGGTCATCAACCTGGGGGTCTTGGGGTCATCAACCTGGGTCTTGGGGTCATCAACCTGGGGGTCTTGGGGTCATCAACCTGGGGGGTCTTGGGGTCATCAACCTGGGGGTCTTGGGGTCATCAACCTGGGGGTCTTGGGGTCATCAACCTGGGTCTTGGGGTCATCAACCTGGGTCTTGGGGTCATCAACCTGGGTCTTGGGGTCATCAACCTGGGTCTTGGGGTCAACAACCTGGGGTCTTGGGGTCATCAACCTGGGTATTGGGGTCATCAACCTGGGTCTTGGGGTCATCAACCTGGGTCTTGGGGTCATCAACCTGGGTCTAGGGGTCATCAACCTGGGTCTTGGGGTCAACAACCTGGGTCTTGGGGTCAACAGCCTGGGGTCTTGGGGTCATCAACCTGGGGTTTTGGGGTCACTCACATGTTAACATAAAACACTTAACAAAAAAGGAAAATAAAGTTATGGGCATAAACTTCAAACATAAATTAATATAAAAGGCATAAAATTCTCCTTCGAACCGGATTCGAACCAGTGACCTATGGATGTCTGCCTCAGTACCAACTACAGTCCACCGCTCTACCAACTGAGCTATCGAAGGGCTCTCCTACCTGCTTGCGCACTTAAATATTTTTCAAAATTATAATATGTTGATTTGTTCATCATTTTGAGGCTATCTTTGAGATGATTTCGGAGTTTAGCGTCCCCGCGGCCCGGTCCTCGAGCAGGCCTCATTTTGATAGTGCATAGTACTATCTTTATAATACTTTTTGTATAATGCAGAGTACAAAATACAATGGTAATAAAAATCGTTTTGATAACCAGCTTTAAAATTTTGACTTTAAAATCCAACAGTTTAGTTTCAGGGCAATTGGGGAGTTTTTTTTGACTAACCGCCGGCTTCCTGTCCTCGTCGAGGCCACTTGTGTTAGTGGCGTATGTGTATATATGTATGTGTGTATATATATATATATATATATATATATATATATATATATATATATATATATATATATATATATAAAAGCCTCGTCGTTACTGATCTTTTAAAACAAACAACAGACAAAAGCACCTTTAGGATATGTGATAAAACTCATGCTAACAACTGGTGGGAAATTTACTCTTATTATTAATGCCAATTTATCACTGTCCAACAACTCCCGTGTTGTCTAGTGGCTAGGATACGCGGCTCTCACCCGCGAGGCCCGGGTTCGATTCCCGGCACGGGAAACCTTTTTTTCCAATTCTTGAATCACCAGGAATCACCAGGAATTACCAGGAATCACCAGGAATCATCACAGTTCACTAAATATCAACCAAATAAGTCACTTACAATTAATGTATCAAGTCTGGAGACTTGTACACATTTCAGTGCAAGACAAATAGTTCGGTGTGACGGGTAGAGGCCCAGTTGTGTACACAGTCTTCAAACTCAAAATATAAGCCATCGCCCATTGTCAGGACAACTGCACTTCCAGCTGCACCCGTGGGGCAGTGTAGGGAACCATCAGTGTATATGATTTGAGAGAGAGAATGCTCTGTGGAGAGAGCATCAATATGGCTTAAGGCGTTGAGCTTTGCCTCAAGACGAAGCTTGGGCTGATTTTTCAAGCCCTCCAAGCTTTTTTCCAGGCATCAAAACCAGCAGAGGTGCAGCATAATCCACTAAAGATCTGATGTGTACAAAGTACATCATTTTGACAATTCTGACAGTAGCACTATAGCCTGAGTGATAACCTGCAACAGCCTTGAGAGCCCGGAGCCTCTCTTTATACTGACGACAGAGTTTAAATACAACAGGACCATACAGTGGCACCTCAAGGTCAAGGTATTTGAATCTGTTTACATAGTCAAGCTGGGAGCCATCAGACAGTTGCATCTTGCGAACAGCTCCTCCCTGCCTAGATGGGCGCCGATTTAGTATCTTTGTTTTCTCTGCATGCTTGTGTCCATTTTGAATTCAGGCAGCTCCGACCAGCCTATGTATTTTCGGAATGGAAGGCCTCGATGGCGCAGTAGGCAGCGCGTGAGTCTCATAATCTCAAGGTCGTGAGTTCGATCCTCACTCGGGGCACTTATTTTCTATGTCTGTACATTTGTAATTAGTAATTTTATATATATGTTGTATTGAGGACCTACTTATACTTCCATGCCAGCCCAGAGTGTCGTATTTCACGGGTATGTTATATACGTAACAGTTATTATAACAATTATTATTATTATTATTATTATTATTATTATTATTATTATTATTATTATTATTATTATTATTATTATTATTATTATTATCGTAAGTTATTGGAAAGTTCTTTGGCCTATACATAAACAAGAGACTCAACTTTTAAGACCATTTAAATTTAAGAGTTGTCCACAGGCTACATCACTCTCGTGCTGATCATTTTAAACCCGTATGTTAGTTCTTTATAACCTGGCTCGTGTCAGCTTGGTAAAAATTCTGTGTATACGAGATAATAATAATTTAGCAATATATCAAGGATTATGTTAGGGTTTAATAGTGCCCGAAGAACATTATACACAACGTGTGAGTGTGTAGTTGTTTGTGTAAAGAATCCAAGAAATATTAACAGTAAAACCCGAAACGCTGCGCGTACTAATGGTTTCACAAGATTGTAAATACTATGCTATGTATTCTCACAAACCCAATGTACCTTCTTGTATGTAAATAAATAATAAATAAGTATAGGTCGCGTGCTCTGTGGAGGAGCCGCCCCCGCTGGGGAGTACCGGAGCACAAGCGCTCGGCTGGTTTGTTGTGGTCTCCAGTGGGCTGTCAGCACCGTGTATTACTGTAAGTACGAGAGATCCCTCCCCAATAGGAGACTAGTATTATTCTTCCTGGCCTTAAATCAGGAAAAGAGCCATCCCGTCCTGCATCATACAGACCAATCTCCCTGCTATCATGCCTCAGTAAAGTCATGGAGAGACGTATAGTACATACTCGCCTCCAATGGAACCTTGAGCATAATAATATTATATTTATTTATTTATTCATTTATTTATATATATACAAGAAGGTACATTGGGATTGTGAGGATACATAGTAATTACATTCTTGTAAAGCCACTAGTATGCACAGCGTTTCGGGCAGAAATAAATTATACCTTTTCATTTTCGACCGTAATGCTCCACACTTGATCAAGTACTCCGCTTTGAATATGAAATCCGCACCTCTCTTAGAAACAGTAAATTTTGTATTGTTCTCTATCTAGACCTTAAAGGAGCTTTCGATAGCATTCCTCGTACTTGCCTCTCAGCAAAGGTTGCACGTTTAGGCATACAGGGAAGATTACTTCTGTGGCTACAGTCCTATCTCACGAATAAGACCTCCAAATTTTATATACAAGGTGGGTTTTCAGATAGCATTCCAATTAGAATGGATGTCTCACAAGGCTCGTATATTCTATTCAAGGCTCCATTCTAAGCCCAACCCTTTTTGCTGCTTTCTTACCCGATTTACCAAATACCCATCCCGTTCACCTCTCGGCATATGCTGATGATTTAACATTGAATTAGTCAGACAATGCCCTACCTAATACAGTCTCAATAATGCATTCTGCACGTGACCACCTCATTGCTTGAACACAAAAATGGGGCATCGACGGTAGTACTACTAAAATTTGTTTTCAGATCCTCACAAAAAAAAAAAAAAAGACTTGTTCATCTACCCACCCTCATAATACATAACAATCCCCTCCAACACATACAAGAACATAAATACCTTGGCATGCTTTTCAACTCGTCCTTACATTCCTGGAAAACATTAATATGATGCAACATAATGTATTTGGCCCAAACCTGACAACAGAGTATGCCTGCTAGCTCTGATGTCTTTAATGACGATAAGGTCTATGTTTTGAGCCAGTTTTGCATTTTATTGTAATTTACATTACTGTTAGGTTCACCATTTGGCATTTATAACATAAGTTACTAGGTTGAAGAAAATAGCTGTGGACATTCAAAATTTGTTAGTCTACGGGTGAAATGTGTTTGGTTAAATAACCTAGGTTAGTTTGTTAGCATAAGAGTAAGTATGTAATGGGGCAATTTGCCATAAAGTCAACCTAATGATGTACATGTGGCCCATATTTATCAGTTATAACATATGCAGTTAGCACTCATGCTAAAATGTATCAAAATATTACAGCTATGGAGAATTTGTGGTGATAGCAGCATTTGCAGTAATTAATGTTTTATTGAATATTATTTAATTGAAATGTAAGAAAAAATAAACTTATAACTAAAAATCTTACCTGTGAAAAATATGTGGTAATTGATATATAGTAAACCTACTTGATACCTGCTTGGTATAAATAGAACCACCATCTCTCTCTTTCTCTGTTTTTACTTTTTCTGGAGGTATTTGTCAAAGCTGCCCCCTTAGATCGTTTAAAGGACTCTAAAAGTTGAATTAAATATGGCAGCTTATGTGTTTAAGCTAAAACAATAAATGTGTTTAAGCTAATGGTTTGCTTAAATAATCAAATGTTTACCATTAGCTTAATTATTAGAAAAATGGTCCTGCTCCTGATTATAAACAGTCACACTGCATGAAGGAACATGCAGTCTTGGGGAGTAGAAGAACTCCCAGAACCCCATTAAGCAGGTATCAAGCAGGTATGCCAAATTAGTATGTTGTTTGGTTTAGATTCAGCTACTCGGAACAAAAGTTCCAAGTAGCACAGGCTACGGTGAGCTCGTAGTGGACTTGTCGCCAAATTAGTAATCCTTAATGACCAAACAATAATTCTTAATATGTTTTCAGCTAACACCAAAATGACAATTTACAACTTCTACCTGTTTGATCGTGAAGGCCAGCTTCTGCATTATGCTGAATGGATACGCAAGAAGCAGTCTGGAATGGCAAGAGATGAGGTTAGCTATTGGGATTTTCTATTACCAATTTATTAACATGTAAACTTCAAGATAAATGATAACTTGGTGAATATTGTAAAGTAGAAAGTTGAGGTAGACCATGGCATATATATGGTCGGGTAGAAGGTTAAAAGGTAGACCAGAGTATATTGTCAGGTAGTAGTATAAAAGATAGAATATAGGACAATGCAATCTTAAATAAAATGTCAATGAGTATAATTTACTAGGGGAAATAAGAGACTGCTCACACAGGAGACAAATTACATATGAATGTAGAATAGTAGGCAATACTATTGACAATATTCAATACTGGCAATTGGCAATACTTGCCAATAGACTACTTTAACTTAAGAAAAATTAAGAACATTTTATTATAATTATTATTATTGTTATCATTATTATTATTATTATTATTATTATTATTATTATTATTATTGAGAAAATCAGTAGAAGCCATGAGGCTTCTGCTGATTTTTGAACCTATGCTCTGGGTACTCCCAAGGAAACACCTCAGAGGACGAGGCCACGACATGGTCAAAAGGATTGCAACATAGGATTCAATTGAATCCTCAGGGATTCCTGAAGCTTCCACTGAAGCCAAACCAGGATTTCCTGGACAATAAAGCCAGAGGGCATGGGAAGATTGTATGAAACCCTGGTTTCCATTATCTGATGTTCTTCATGCCAATACGAATACAATAATACTATGGCACCAATATGGTACTGATCCCTGTCTCAACAGTAAACTACATAAGGGATGCGACATATAAATTTATGATTTTGTATTGGTTCTCTGACATTAAATACAACATGCAGGAGGGTCTCCTATTTATGCAGGTGATGCTTCTCTAGTTTTTGTCATCAGTCAGTTGGTATTCGGAACACAATTTCCCATGGAAGTACAGTGTACTATAATTCTATAAATGCGAGATATGTTCCTAAAGCATAAAAAATTGGTATATTAAATTTATTTATATATAAATAATGTTGAATAAATGCAGGTTTTATTCATGTTCAATACTGGAGTTGCCTTGCTTACTGGATTTCAATTACTGAGAAGTTTAATTAGTGAAGGATGAGACAGTAGAAATAGCAGCTGCTTTTCCACATCAGAAAAATCTTTAGTTATTATGGTTGAACTCATTTGGCATATATATGTAGTACTGATTAAGGGGGTAGTCTACTCTATACACATGCAGGCTGTGTTAATATTTCTTCTTTATATAAGTGCCTTATTACATTCATTTTAATTTTTAATGTTAATGCTCTTTTTCTTCTGGGCCTTGATTTGCTATCACTAATACTTTTCCTCTTACAAGCTATGATTAAAGGTCTTTTTACTAAAGAAATACCACAATTAATCCTGGATTACACACCATTCTTAAGTTGGAGCACAAAACATCTTGTGGAGGAAGTATTGGCAGCTGAATAGCAGTTCGGATTCGTAGTCCTGAGGTTCCAGGTTCGATTCCCGGTGGAGGCGGAAACAAATGGGCAAAGTTTCTTTCACCCTGATGACCTTGTTCACCTAGCAGTAAATAGGTACCTGGGAGTTACACAGCTGTTACGGGCTGCTTCCTGGGGGGGTGGGGGTGTAACAAAATGGATGCCTGGTCGAGGACCGAGCCACAGTGACGCTAAGCCCCAAAATCATCTCAAGATAACCTCAAGATAGCTGCCATAAGTAGGATCTTCATAAGTCAGGGATTCCTTGAAATTGTAAGAGTATGATAACCAGAGTACAGTATTAGTTTATCACATGCCTTTAACATGATAAAGACGAATTATTATTCGGGATAGTCATACTGTACTTGCTTGTTTCATCCTGGCAATTTGAGGTGTGAGATAATGTACTGGCACAATCAGAGAACACTGTATAAACATCAGAGGTCCACGGTTGTTCAACATCCTCCCAGCGACTATAAGAAATATTGCCGGAACAACCGTGGACGTCTTCAAGAGAAAACTGGATGTTTTCTCCAAGGAGTGCCAGACCAACCGGGCTGTGGTGGGTATGTGGGCCTGCAGGCCTCTTCAAGCAACAACCTGGTGGACCAAACTCTTACAAGTCAAGCCTGGCCTCAGGCCGGGCTTGGGGAGTAGAAAAAATCCCAGAACCCCATCAGGCAGGTAAGCAGTTTGTGTTACAGCAACATATTTACGTTTTACGTTTTTACGAGTTTTTTTTACAATTCTTACTCCTTTGTGTCTCTTACAGGAAGCTAAGCTGATGTATGGAATGATATTCTCTATCAAATCATTTGTTACAAAGGTATGTTAGCACTGTTTAATTTATAGATAAATGAATACAGTACAGTCATGTCTTCCCTTTGTGATTAGATATACAGTGGTACCTTTGTTTTTAAATTTAATCCTTTCTCAAAGATGGTTTGAAAACCAAAACAAATTTTCCCATAAAACATAATGTAAATTGAATTAATCCATTCCACACACCCCAAAAATATTAACTTAAAAATACATTTTATACATATTACTACGGTACTCATATTTTGTACCACAGTATGTACAAGTATACCTTACCTTTATTGAGGATTCTTGTTGGCGTATGGAAGACTGTGAGAAAGGGAGGAGGAGAGGTGTTAGTGTTTGGAAGGGGGAGTCCCCCTCCATTATAACAGCAGTGATAGACATTTCAGTGATGACATCTCTCTCTCTTAGGTTTTGCAGGCATATCACTAGCACCTAGTTGTGGCTCAATGCTTGCTTGTCTTGCTAAGAATCTGTCTATAGACACTTGTTTTTTCCTACGTTTTAACACTTGTCTGTAGTGAGACATGACATTGTCTCACTATGAATGATCTTTTGTTTTTCCTCTATCGTCATCCTCACAAGTATTTTCTTAGGTTGAATTTTACCACAAACTTTCTTGGAACCCATGGCATGATTTATGATAAAAACGTTCATGTTCAGAAACTAAAAAAAAGCACAAAAACAATGAAATTCTTCACAAAGAATTCAAGTGCGGGAGACACTGGTAAACTGAAGCGTGCCATGTGCTCGGTCGGCTCATATGTGTATCAATAAATTCGAGCACAGTCAAAGTGACTAACGCCCCCAGGTCCGGGTCCTTATAACCAAAGCGGGGCAGCCGCAGGGCATCCAGATGGAAAACCAACCTAGCGCATTGCAGCAACCTAAACCTGTTATGCAATGCAGATGCTACCTGTACTCTAACAGTAATGTCATCAGAATAGTTCTGGAGAACAAGCAGAGAACACGACTCCCAAGACTCTGGGTCAAAGGTGTTGTTGACCTAACAGGCAGCATGACCGAGGCAAAAGAGGTGACTGTCGCCCTGAGACAAGGGCACACGGCAACCTTCAAACCCGCACGAAGTGAGCTGAAACTCAAAAGAGGAATCCATAGGTCCACCGAGCCCTGACAGGGTTTTCCAGGGCCTGTAGGCTGACTGCTATGGGAAACATGAGCAAGGTGTTGCTAACCAGTTAGACCCAAAGCTAACAAGTGGGAGATCAAAACATTGAAACCTCTGCGATGTATACAATCACAGGGACCTAGCGGAGCGCCACCAAAATATTATAAACGGTCAACCAGGAAACCAAACAAAAAAAAAAGAAAACCCCCAACAAAAGCACAATGTCCCCAGAAGAAACAGGAACTGGCCGCTGAGTAGGTTAGCTGGCTGTGCAGCACCTTGACGCCCAACCAGCAGCAATACCATTCCTTACCCAAGGCCAAATAAGGGCCACAAAACCCTAGCTGGCCCTAAGGGCGGGGGTAAATGCCAAGCAGCAAAATCCCCTACATAAATGGCGTCCCGAATGCACCAGGGAAGATAACCCTGACACGCAAGGGTAGTACTCACGGGGAACTTAGGGAAGGCTGCCCTAAGCGCATGTAACCCCAGTCCGGTACACCTGGCCACCACACCACAAGCAGCAGAGAACACCACGAAGGCAAAACACTACATAGGAAATTGAGGCCAGAGATGACGACTGCCCTGGATTGTATTAGCCAATGATCTGGAATAACTGGGTCGCAGGCACGGGGTGGGCTGGGGCTCCCTGCTTCCCCCTCCAATGGGGTGGGCGCCTGTGCGGATGAGTGGCACGGGGTTGGGGTATGATGTTTGCTTGTTTCCATGGGATTTTAGGGAGTTCTGCCCCTCTTTGGTTTTCAGTTGCAATTTTCTTACCATGTGGTAGGTAGGTGGATTTTCAGCTTTCTAGCAGCTTGAAAAGAGTGGTAGTAAATCATATAAATCAAATAAATCTTAAAAAAATTCCTTTGGGAAAGTGAAATAGTATAATCAAGATTGTTAGATAGGTGATATTTAATTATATCTTAAAGAATCTATTGGTGCAAGAGTATTTGAAGTCATGCAATGCTGTACTAATGTCTTGTGCATGGTGCTTCAGGAAGGCAGAAGTCAATGAAAAAATTACCTTCTCAGCATCAATACAATACAGGGCAATGTTCTTGTGTGTGTCAGAAGCAAATTTACTCACAGCACTTGCAATTACAATCATCTCCCTAAAAACAGGTCTCCCCTGTGGATCTGCGAGAGGGCTACCTTACATACACCACCAACAAGTACCGCCTCAACCTTTACGAGACACCATCACGATACAAGTTCATCCTTAATACTGATATCCATGCTCAGGGTATAAAAGAGCTTCTTCATCAGATATACACACAAGTAAGTTTTGGTGTTTATTGGTGAAGCACTGTACAGTATTTCTAGAAATGATAATGATACTTGTAACAATACTTTATACTATACTTTAATGATACTTGTAACAAAATTGTTCAGCAATTACCCCTGCTCCTATCACTAAAGTATTCACAAATGTGCTTAACATTAGGGCAACCAATGCATTGCAGATCCCCAAAGTTATGTTGATAAATACACTCGTTGCCTGTTTGGTGTTTCCCCCTCTCAGCAATGATTTGTTAGTGCTGTTTCTCACACATTACAAAAAACATTGTTGAGTACAATGTACCCTTATATATTGTATATTTATACAACACATTTTTAACAGTGTTGTTTTCATTTACTAACCCTGAATTGAAATTGAGAGCACTCTTTTATGACTGGAACTTAAAGCAAGTGCATGTATCTAACTGGACAAAGAAAACCATTGATTTGGTTTCTTCTGTCTAGTGTATGTAAATAAATGTACGAATGAGTGGGAAAGAGAGGAAAGTTAGGAGAAAATGTGTTAAAGAGTATGTGTATTCATATAAAAGTGTGTGTATGTATAAGTTTGTGAAGAAATAGGCGAGTGGGAGTGTAAGAGGAGGAAGTGTGTTATATATGCAGTATACATATCTAGTGACTGTAAGAACATACCTAATATATTACAGTACTTTATCCATATTAATTAAATTGTAGCTGTTCACTGCTCTAATATAAATATAATGACCAAACCACACATCACTTTGTAGTGTTCTTTAACACTAAGGTCTTCCAACATAATTAAATCTTATTGTTTTGTTTTTTACCAGGTGTTCGTGGAGTATGTAGTCTGCAATCCACTATGTCCACTCACTAAACCTATTGAGAGTGAATTATTTGCTGCTAAACTTGAAGAAGTTGTTAAACAAAGTCCTGCATATGCATCAAGACCAGCATAAGCATGGTAAAGCAATAATTTTGGAAGTCCTCATTCTAAGAAAGTGAAGATACTGTGTGAACATCTTCAATGAAGATATTGTATTGTAATTGTAAGTTTTGTTTGTTCAAAATAATTAACAGGATTGAAGAAAATTAAAAAAAAAAAAGGTGCAGACGAGCCATGTCTAATCTGAATTTAACTGAATTGTAAACTGTAATGCAATGAATGCACAGTTTGTCACACCTTTATATACAAAATTTAGTTCAAATAATGCTGTTTAGCGTTTGAAGTGAAGGGAGAAAATAGAAATGCCTCTGGAATGGTACAGTACATGTTGATAGCAGTTAATTTTGCTAGGAGGTTATAGAGTTTTTAATGTCTTTTTTTTTGGTATTTGTATTAGGGATAAAAGGAATTTTTGTTGTTGTTTTTTTAGGGGGGATTTGTAGTTTTTAAAGTTTAGGTAAGGTGATTGATTACTGATTAACTGATTAACACATGACATTTTAACAAATATACGGTACTTCTTAGTGGTACAGCTACTTTCTGTTTGTAACTTTGTCATTACATTTTACAGCTGTAAGTGGAAGGTAAAGTTTCTGGCGTCCAAACCCATAATGTGAACTTTGGTATTCAAAGTTATATTTAAACTCCATTATGGAAATACTGATGGTATGTATAGCAAGATGAGACATTTATCTATAAATTAACACCACAGTCATGCCTGTAGATGAAACACAAAGATAGTAACCAACATACATGGTTGGATGGATATAAAGTTAATGCAATGTGTTTGGCCCCCAGGTGAAGGTATCTGGATGGATAGACATGTTACATATTTTAAGGGAATTTTGGCAGTATAATCATGTACAGTATATTATGGTCTATGCACGAAATCTATGATCTGTGAGGCTGATCACATTAATGGTGAAAAACCACAATGAAAGGCAAGTACAGTACAGTAATGCTGAAGTGCTTTTAGGCTGTCAGGGCTGTCTTCAGTAGCAAGAATTGAGGGAACAAGGAAGAAAGGGGAAAATATATGGAGGGCCAGCCTGGCCCTCCATATATTATATCCTCTGGCCCTTAGTATACTGTATCATAAAAAAATAGTTATTTTTCCATGTGTTCTTAAATGCAACTTTAAAATGAGATAAAACCTGTAGTTTCCTATAACCTGTTCTTGTATGGTTCCTTGTGTCCCATACAGTACTGCCTTATCTAACCATCTGGCATTTCCGACGATTTTCAAAGGATTACCATAGCATGACCTTTTGTTCTCGCCAGCTTCTTCCCACTCCACTTGTGGTGTCTAAGTTGGTCCACCATATGTTCTCTCCCTTGTTTCTGTACTCTTGCTACTGAAGACAGCCCTGACAGGTTGAAAGCTCTTTGGCATTACTTGCATTTCGTTGTAGTTTTAGCATTATTGTCTACATTATGCCCTCTTTGCTTCAATACTATTAGAAAACTTTCCTATAATAAGACATCCGGATCCTGCAAGTTTTGCTTCCCAAGGGTGCGAAAACCAAAAACTTCACCTTACTGCTCAGGTTGGAAACTTGGTTCACTGGTTTAGAGCTGGTAATATGTCTTATTAAGTACAGTAATACATAAATAATACTGAAAGCCATCTACAGAAAACAATATTCAGTAGTACAATTGTTTCAGAATTTAAACAGAATTTGTAGGCATACTATTACAGGGTAGTTTAGTTCGGTTCACTAATATGCATCCAATACCCATCTTCCAAATGGTCCTGCAAAGGTTAGAGGCACATAATGGGTTCAGGAACTGAATTCTAGTATTTGACTCTGACATATTATATAAAACCAAAAAATATTTACAGGAATGAGAAATGAAAACGTGGTATGCATGTGTGTTGATTTATATAAACAGTATGTATGATGTCAGATGTCAGTTCGACTTTCTACTGTCTTGACAAAATAAAATATTACTAAAGTTTATAAACACTATATACTTCATTCCAATGAGTCATGTTTGTAGTATATTTAAACCTTTGAATGCCCATTTTTGTATACATCTGAGGTGTAATTCACCATAGATGATACCATTCCTGCAATATGTCCACATATGCAAGAGTTGAGGCTATCTTGAGGTTATCTTGAGATGATTTCGGGGTTTTAGTTTTCCCGCGGCCCGGTCCTCGACCAGGCCTCCACCCCCAGGAGGCAGCCCGTGACAGCTGACTAACCCCCAGGTACCTATTTTACTGCTAGGTAACAGGGGCATAGGGTGAAAGAAACTTTGCCAATTGTTTCTTGCCGGCGCCCGGGATCGAAACTGGGACCACAAGATCACAAGTCCAGCGTGCTGTCCGCTCGGCCGACCGGCTCCCAGGCTATAGTTTCAGTATTGACACTTGTTGATAATACAGTGACCTACATCCTAGACTCGCAGTGCAGGATCTTGGCTTCGATCCCCATTGGGAACAGAAATGGTTGGGCATATTTCCTTTCACTTGATGCCTCTCTTTTCCTAGCATTAAATAGGTAAATAGGTACCCCGGAGTCAGGAAGCTGTTGAGGGTTGCATCCTGGGGAGGACCAGTAGTTGGTCTAGTGAAGACTTCAGTAGACATAAGTAATTATCAAAAGAAGGCATCAAACCAACAATAAGCATAAGTACAAGCTTCCTGTCCCTGATAATGTTTAATACATTAAGTTTGGCTTTGATTTGGTTTTCCCAGATAACCAGAGCAATTACTACCAGTATTTTGTATCTAGTAGAATTTATATAAATTATAAGATACTTCAGAGTAAGTGTTGGTGATGATATATTAGGTCATGCAAGAAACATTAACTTGGAAGGCATAAGTGACTTTGAATAATTTACTAGGGGCATTTTTTCAGATTGGTGATTATTGTACGAGATGGGAGGGTATGTCCTCCCATGTCTGCTGCCTGTGGAGTTGGTGATGGGGTGAAGAAATGTGAAGGAGTAAGGATTTACTGTACAAGAAATTCATTGTGTAATTTTTCATAAGGTATAATATTGCACCAGGAGTGTACAACAGGGACTTTTGGTTTAGATAATTTAATAGAACACATTGCTGTATCTAATCTACATTTTCTGTTTAGTTAAAGTTCATTGGCTAATGTTTAGTTAAATATATTAATATGCTTGACTTAATTCATGGAACTCTTGATAAAAATGAAAACCCCATAGGTTTTGTGTTGACACCATTCACCACAATAACCTCAAACTGAAGCACTATGGAGTCAGGGGTCTATACTTGTGATCTTACATCAGTGATGGGCACAAGCATGTTTTTGTGAACAAAGCTACTTCTCCCACAATGCCAATTAACATTGCCATTCCTCAGGTAAGAAAAAATCCCCTTGCAGCTTCTCGTATATCGCTGCTACATCAACCATGGACGAACCTACATCGTGCTACATGGGGGGTTCATAAGATATATTTAGCCCATACCTCTTTCTTACATCATTGACCTACCAAATGCCCTACAACACTTTTAACCATTTCGATTTGCTAACATTTTCTCAAATATACAGTATACTCACTTATACTGATAATGAATAAAAAATAAAAAAATGCATTTTTGGTTGACTACTAACACTCACCCTTAACAATGAATCAACATACTACAGAATTTGGAAATAAATATATGAAAATATATTAAGAATTGACAATGCCCAAATTTAGAGTAGAGTAGTTTATAAATTCCTTGGTGTTCACATTAGGAAACCAAATTTCAATTGCCATTTACAAAATGTAATACCTTCTGAAGCAGTAGGCATCCTACTTCTTCATGCTTTCTTACCTTCTCTACCTTAGTAATACTACTATTCACTGATTTGTCCATATATCACCTATGGTATCCGAGTCGGGGGGGGCGGTGGGGGATCTATAACCCATAATTACCTTCAACCGATAATTACTAGACAAATCAGCAATTAGAACAATAAACTAATCCCAGACGGCATTTAGCAGCCTTACTGACATCCTTAAATATATTAAATATTAAGTCGCTGCACATACTCGTATACTCTTATACTGGTATTTATAAAACTCTGAACTGCAGTACTAATCCTGAGCTGAAACACTTCCTAAAAGGGCTGTATTGGATCCCATGAATACTACATAGAAACAAATGTCTAATTGATATTCCAAGAGTGTAGCTTAACAAAGCAGAACTGTCATGAAAATTAAGGGTCCTAAACTGTGGAATGATCTTCCTAATGAGATTAAAAACTGTACTTCCTTTAAGTTTAAATGAGAAACCAAGAAATACATACCGTAATTAATCATTTGCACTCGCATTTCCTCATCCTACAAGTCAACTTTTGTTTTGTTGTTATTGTGAATATTAAATATTATATACTCTGTACTATTGCAATAACTACAGTTTTTATGTCATCTATGCCTTTTAAATATCATTTACAAATTTTAAATCATTTGCTAAATATATTTCACACTTCAAATGTTAGATTACTACTACAGTATGTTTAATTGGATAACACTTAGTACTGAACAAGATTATCTAATTATGTTATATCTGAAACACACTACATATTAAGTGGCTTTATATAATTTACATTGTGTATCTACAAACCACTATCATGTTTCAAATGTATTTTATGTAAATAAAAGTTAATAATACTGTATTATTATTGTTATTGTTGAACACAAAGAAATAACAATGGCATGATATATCAATGATAATAATTTTGGGTAATGAGGTGACTTACTGGTATTCTTGTGATTCCTAGACACCTGCCTTAACTCACTCTGCTATGATCGTGGCAGTGTGTGTTAAGACAAGAGCAACCCGCACTACACAGCAAAGTATGACAATCCCCGCACATGTACATCAAGGCAGCAGGTAGGTGGAAGAGCAATGCTTACAATTCCTTCATCAGGCTGGGGTCCCTACACTCTCCTACCCTGACGTGCGAGTGTGTTGGCCAGGCCCTGGCTGCCCTACTGGGATGAGGGCTCTGCATGAGCAGGCTTGGCATTTGGGATGCTCTATTGAACTCGCCATCCTGCACTACTACATTTCATCCTTACATGTCTTATCTTAAATGTGGTATTCTTGCCACAACCTACACCCACATTAAGCATTCCTAGCACCTGTCACTTTTCAAATTATGTGGGGACCATTGTTCTTACAGTTAGAAGAGTTAAGATTGTCTCTTATGTCTCAAGGGTATGATGTGCCAGTTGAAGTCTATTACAACAAATTACTTTAGAGTTGGCAATTGTCCTTCTTGATTTGGCAAGCCATATTTTATGTCAAGTATATATCCACAAGTTTTATGCCATTATGTTCATTATCCTATGTTACTTTCCTTACGAGCTATCAATGCCAAGTGGAGTGTCACATCTACTATGTTAAGTCAGGTTGCAGCTTACACCATATACCCTCATTGGTATACACCATATAGCCCTCATGCCTCATACGCATGAGGGCTCTTATTAGAGCCTTCATGCTTGGGTGAGGCTATAGGCTCGCATGCTTGCGTGAGGCTATAGGCCCGCATGCTTGCGTGAGGCTATAGGCCTGCATGCTTGCGTGAGGCTATAGGCCCGCATGCTTGTGTGAGGCTATAGGCCCACATGCTTGCGTAAGGCTATAGGCCCGCATGCTTGCGTGAGGCTATAGGCCCGCATTCTTCGTGAGGCTATATCCCCGCATGCTTGTGTGAAGCTATAGGTTTATAGGCCACCTGCTTGTGTGAGGCTATAGGCCCCCCCTGTTTGTGTAAGGCTATAGGCCACCTGCTTGCGTGAGGCTATAGGCTCGCATGCTTGCATGAGGTTATAGGCTCGCATGCTTGCATGAGGCTATAGGCCCGCATTCTTAGTGAGGCTATATCCCCGCATGCTTGCGTGAAGCTATAGGCTACCTGCTTGCGTGAGGCTATAGGCCCGGCTGCTTGCGTGAGGCTATAGGCCCGGCTGCTTGCGTGAGGCTATAGGCCCCCTGCATGCGTGAGGCTATAGGCCCCCCCTGCTTGCATGAGGCTATAGGCCCCCCTGCTTGCGTGAGGCTATAGGCCCGCATGCTTGCGTGAGGCTATAGGCCCCCTGTGCTTGCGTGAGGTTATAGGCCCCCCTGCTTGCGTGAGGCTATAGGCTAGCCCGCCTCACTCACATTATACCGTACCTGGTAATGGCCAGGACGACAGCGGTGCACGCCTTTAGGACGACCTCCTGGTGTTTATACGACTTATTGGAGCAGAGTTTTAACGACCCGAGCTTGTGTCATCTTGGGGTCGTAAAGGGACCATCCATGTTGACTCTATACTTAACGCTCTGTAAACTTTCTAATTGAGATTATTATTTTTTTATAGTGTGTACACCTTTAGTTGAAAGTTGATTCTTGTTGTTGTTGTTGTCTTACAGGTGTTGTAGATCAGTAATATAGTGTAATACAAGCGTAGCCGTGAATCCTCTGGCTTCCCAACAGTATGACGATTATGACGTTATATGAGAGTGTAAGTTAACCAATGACCATATTATTCGTGTCACTGCAAAAAAAACTTGACCAAATAACCTTTATTGTGGTGGTTATGAAGTATTTGAGATAACAACATGTTCGAAGATTAGATAAGTCAGGTGGTTGAGGGGCGCGCCATGGACTCGTGACCCATCTACACTTCCTTTACTGCAGCTATTGTTTCTCTTCACTGTGGTGGACGGTAGAGCGACTGTCTATAGCGTCATGCAGGTCGGCGTTCTATCCCCGACTACCAAGTGGTTGGGCACCATTCCTTCCCCTCCGTCCCATCCCAAATCCTTATCCTGACCAATTCCCAGTGCTATATAGTTGTAGTGGCTCAACCATTACGACTAAATTAATTAATTTAGTCGTAAATAATTACGATATAAATCAATACATTTATTAAGATAGCTGTCGAGAAAATGAACCTTTATCCTTATGTTGAAACCCAGATGATGAAAATTCTTAAGCAATGTT